AGCAAAAAGGGTAAATGCCAGGGCAAACACCCCAGCCTACGGGCAACCTCCAGGAGAGATGAAAGGTCAGTGCTGGGACAGGCACGCCTTCCGCAGCAGGTTCCCCACCAGAGGTCCCTGCTCTGCCCTTACCTCCTCCCTCCTTTCCTCTGGACCCGACGCCAGGTGGGGGCTCAGCTGAGGCTGGCTGCTGGCGCCGTCCTCACTGCCTTTGTCACACGCGGCTTGCGCAGACTCCTGGGCGGTCACAGGCCCCGCTGCCCTTTCTTCACTGTCCACTGAACTGAGGGACAGCGCACTGAGGCTGCTGGGACACGTGGCCTTTCCCGCGCCTGGGCTCCGAGGGCTAGGGGGCTTGGGTGTGGTAGGCCTTGCGGGGGTGAGCGGCTGCTCGGGTTCGAAAGTAAACTGGCTGCCCGCTTGGCGTTCGTCGGAGTCCTGGGCGACCGGACTCGCTGAGGCGCTGCCAGCGCAAGGACAGGCGCTTCCGGCCGCCCCGCAGCCTGCGGCTTCCATTGGAGAGGCGGCCGTGTCCACGTCCACCTGCGCGCTCGGAGCCCCGGCCGGGCCGCACCCCGGGCCGCCGTGCGCACCTGCGCACCTCCTCCACTCGCGCTCGGCGCTGGTGGACACGCGGCGGGAGTAGGCGTCGTGCAGCCGGCTGTGCACCTGCAGCCTCTGGCTCGCCTCGCCGGGCGAGGGCGCCCCGCTCCTGGGGCTCTCTCTCCTCCAGGCCGCGTCGGTGGCGCCGCTCACAAACCTCAGGACTCTGTCAAAGTCCTTGGCCCGCAGTGGGCTCTTCCAGCGTTTCGTCCTCCTCTCGGACCCACCGGACTTTTCCGAGTCGGCAGACGAACTGCTTAGCGTCCGTCGGGGCGCTGGCTTTTCAGGCGCCCCCTTGAGGTCCGTGAGATTTGAAGTGGACTTCCGTTTGAAGGAGCTCTTCTTCAGAAAGTTCAAGTTATCCGTGCTCTTGCTTTTCCTGTAGATGATGCTATTGTTCTCGGAGTCCTTCACTAGGATCTCACACACGGTGGGCTCCTGGGTGACAGGGGCCAGCGGCCGGACGTGGTTCTGGGACCCCTGATGCTTCTCGTAATCCAGGAGGCTGATGCGGCCCAGGCCGTAGGCGCGGCGGATGCTGCGGGACCGATGGGTGCTCCTCTGGAAGGCGTCGTCGGCCTCCTCGGGGTCGGAGCAGTCCGACGCGCCCCCTGGCCCTGCCTTCGGGGCGTCCCTTGCTGGTCCCGAGGAGGGGCACCTGCTGGTTTGCATTCCGACTGCAGCACCGTTTGGGATGGGTTTCCCTGGATCACGTTCCGGGGGGTCTTCCTTTGCCGCATCTGACCCCTCTCGGTTCTGAATTCCTTGAAGGACGGAGGACTTCAGTTTTTTGAAAGATCCCATTTTCCGGAAGGAGGCAAGGGCATTCCAGGTGGAGGAATTTCCCATCAGGACCATGGAGCGGGGCCTCTCCGGGTTGGTGCCGGTCCTCTTCCTACTCACGGAGAAGAGGCGCATGAGCTTGGCAGGGCTGAGTCTGGCCTCCTGGGCTTCCACCTCCCCGCAGTAGCTGCTGCTGCAGCCTCCATTCTGACATGCTGGGTAAGTCACCATTTTGGGGTCTTTGGGATCAGAGACCGAACATGGGATGGCGGCAAGTCGCCCATGGCCGTTCTGGGCTGTTGTCATATTCTCGGGGCTGGGAGCCCGTGGCCACAAGGCAGCTGGGTTCAAACCCACATGCACATCCGTGTCCACAGGCCCCAGACGCGTATCTTCATCTCCGAGGCTGCTGCCAGCCTGGCTTTCACACCTACGGTGCACATCAGGCTCCTCAGTTGTGGCCACTGCCTACAACAGAAAACAAAGCAGGGATTTAGTTATGTTCCCCCACAGAATAACCTCTATGAACAGTGGCTTGTTATTTTGTTTAAGAATTCTGAATACAAAAGAAGCATGCCTTGTGACAGGGCTGATCAGTTCAAAACTATTTTAAATTAAAAATTTACCTTTCCTAATTCATTTCACAATGAATTAAAGGGAAGAATGCAAATACACATTCCTTAAAAAAAAAAAAAAAAGATAATTATGGGTTGTGCATTCAATGTAAATTCTCAAATCCAGTGAAAGTTAAGTAAAACTTTTGAAAAATTGCTGGAATGCAAAGGCCAAGGCATCATTCAACACTGGGTCTTCTCTTTATTTGAAATAGAAGAAATTTTTAATTATCAAATTTAAAAAGATAGCAACAACTATTTCAAAATGTGTCACAGTGAAATATCAAACTATATTAAATTTAACACAGCTAATAGGCAGATTGAGTGCTTAGTATATGCAAGCACGAGTACAAGGAGCTGCAGTAGAGACCAAGATGCTCTCCGTTGCCTGTCTACAAAATACCTGAAACTCTACTGAGAGACAAAGTGCTACAGGGACACATGAGTGGAAGGGACAAACTGAAGTTGTATGAGGTCTGGCTTTGTGAATGAAACCGCATTAGTGAGGGGCCTCTGTCAACAGGATTCTTACTGGCTGGGGAATGGAGAAAGATCAGAATAATACTTAAATATTAGAAATTCAGACACAAAAACTCAAATTAAACAAATGTTGCACCTTCTTCTTTCTTCCTCCATGCCTGGAAGCCCACCACACACCTGCAGTCCATGCTCTCTCCCCCAGTGAAGATATTGCTCTCCTTACCCTTTGCCCTTCAGGCCAAGACCTGCTCAGCCTGGGAACGCCAGCTTAAATGTCAGTCACCCTGTTCTCAATGAATGATTAGTCAATGAAGGAAGATAGGAAGGAGTGTGAAATAACTCATAAAAGGACTACCACTCACTAAGTGTTTATTACGACATGTCAGGCCCCTGTGCTAAGTGTTTTAAAAACAACATGCCACTGAGTACTCATACAAACCTGCAAGATCAATAACTTTCATTTTATAGATAATCAAATGGACACTTGGGCAGGGGTGCTGGGGGTTCCTGCAGCTCTCCCTTCCAAAGCTTATGCTCCTCTCCACTACTTCAAACTAATGAACAAAGAAGAGAGGCAGAGCTGGGATATGAACCCCAGGGGTGTGACACCAAGTTCAGTGCCTTATGATATGACCCCAACTCAAGTCAAATCCCAGATATCCTTATGCCAGTCAAGGCCACTATTCCAAAGGCAATATTAAAAGCAGAAGAGGAAAAGAAGGAGAAAGGTGTATAAAATTAAGGTTAGGTCCCAATTTAGCTTAGTCCTCTCAAGTGCAGAAGAAAATGGGACCTCGTGCAAAGAGGTCTCATCTGATTCTACTCTCCAAATTCTCTGCTGGGTTCATTTTTATTTGCCCCTACGTCGTGCCCCTTGAGGAATTCCCAGGGAGTCACAGTGAAGGGGTTGATTCCATCTGGGACCAGGGAAGCTGCATAGATTTAGACCCCTGGAGCCTTTCTGATGTCCATTTACCCAATTCCATTACTCAGAAGCCTAATGGGGCTACCACATGCCGTCTGCAGTTTAATGTTCTCATGGAGAAATTAGGGAGCCTTAAGAGCTGTGGGTTGCATTTGAATGAGCCATAGAAGCAGAAACTTGAATCATCCCGGCACTGAGGCTGGAAGTAAATCTATAACCAGTTTGCAAAATGAGTCTAACACTAAGTACCACCTGTCCACCGTCAGCTACTCTGGGAGGGACAGGGGACTGTGGTTGTTTCAACTTCTCACAATCTTGAAACGAAGCATACAGTTTATGCAAACATCAAGTCCAGTCACAGACACTGACTGATGGCATATTACATAATTGTAATGGCCGTGTTATGACTTCCACTGGATACAGAGGAGCAGACACGACCCTTCTCTAGTCATCCGGCTGGATGGAGACACTTACAGACACCACAACTAGAGGGCGCTATGAGACCTTTTATAACCAAGGATGACAGTGTGTTAGGCGGCCCCTGAGGTCTCAAGGGGTGCTGGCAGTGCTCGATTTTAATGTTGGGTAGTTGGAGAACAGTAATCTGTGCTCCAGTGCCATCTATAAAAGAATAGGTGCCGGGGGCCTGGGTGGCTCAGTCATTGAGCGTCTGCCTTCGGCTCGGGTCATGATCCCAGGGTCCTGGGATCTAGCCCCGCATCGGGCTCCCTGCTCGGCGGGAGGCCTGCTTCTCCCTCTCCCACTCCCCCTGCTTGTGTTCCCTCTCTCGCTGTGTCTCTCTCTGTCAAATAAATAAATAAAATCTTAAAAAAAAAAAAAAAAAAAGAATAGGTGCCAACATTTATGTATATGGTATATCAACCAACCAATTAATTCATGAGCCTCTGTTAGGTACAAGAATCTGTGTAGGCCCCATGATAAACTCAAAAGAGTGACAAGGTGATAAACTGTTCTTGATGGGAACTTGGCATGAGCAAAGAAAGATCCAGGAACCTAAATCTGATTGAGAGGCAGTAAACTTGGGTGACCAACTGTCCCAGTTGGCCCAGGGGTGAGGTATTTTACAGGACATGGGACTCTCAGAACTGAAACCGGAGAAGTTCTCGGCAGACTGGGATGACTGGCCACCCTACATTAAGTAGAACTATAATATAGTTGGAAGGATGGCACAGTGTCATGTGGTAGTAAAAATTAAGATGAAAACAGGTTTAGAAAAAGAGCACATCCCTTTAGTCTACACTTTGAGACTGTCCACAGGTGTCATCCTCTTTGGGAATAATTAAGATCCCTTACTCTGTGTATTACAGGCATCTCACCAAATTGCTTTACCAAGACATATTTATAATGATAGGTTTATATGGCTGCCCTCAGAACAAGACTGTGAACTCTTTGAGAGTAAGAACGGTGTGCAACACTTACATTACTTATCTTGATGTAAAACTGTATCAGTTATCCTGCCTTGTCAAGTCTGTACCAACATTAACAATTCATCAACAATACCACGGTATTTGTCCAATGTGAAGATGTTTAAATTTTTACAACACTAAAAAGTCTAAGTATTTATTAAAACTTAAGTTTTAAGATACAGATCTAATAAAATACACACATATCTGATTTCTGATTGGGGCAACATGCTTTTTTAAAAGTCCAGTGACTTAATATTTGGTTCATGCAGCTGAACGATGTGATTGTTGTGTGCTGCTTGGAATGAAACTGAAAATCACGGAAAAAGGCTTTTCCTGGAATTTCCGAGAAACATACCAAGTAGCATTATTTAGAACTAATACTTTGACCTCTATTAACTAACAAGGGTTGCGATTCAATCAGTGGTTTTGTAGCAAGTCTTGTAAATAGTGGGAGCTCTGCCAGAGAGATTTATGAACAGAACTACAAGGAACAATTTTAGATGGGAATATTGTGAAATCCATTGTCTACAAGCTGGATTCTGGAGTATATGAACTTTAGAACATTTTTTTTCACTCATAATGAGAATTCTTTGAAAACAACTATGACCAGTAATTTTTAAATAAGAATTTATAATACTTGAATTTGAAATTCAGAAATATATATCAGGTTAAATGTACACACAAGGGGGTTTTTGTAATCTGTTCATGTAAATTACAGAAAATGTGACATTGGAGAAAAACATATTGGAACATATTGCAAAATATATTGAAATCTGAAAGTATAAATCTTTGAATCACAGTGCTGTAGAATACCGCCTTCAGGAACATCGAACCCGTTTGCAAAGATTAGGGCACTGGAACCCAGTGGGTCTGAGAGACATGCTCATTGTCAAGCCACCAAAGGTGAAAGCACAGTGAGGCTGGGAATCAGAGGCACCAGCTTTGGGCCCCAACACTGCCACATACTGGCCCAAACCTGCTGGTCATCCTAGACCTCTTCCTTTCCTTCCAGATCTCACTGGTCACCAAGCCGAAGAGATTCTCCTTCAGATCTCGACAATCCGTGCTCAGTGTGGCTGCCACAGCCTTATTTCCAGTCTTTAGTGCCTTCCACCTGGACACCTGCATTAACCTCCTGAAAAATCCTGTCACCCCCAAGCCAGCCAGTTCCTTCCCAGAAATTGCCAGTGGAGTCGTGCCACTTCATCTAGTGTCACTGGCTGCCGCCTCGGAACCTCGAGATGTCAGATCTCAGCCGAGCATACGATACCTCTCACTCTGGCCATGCAGAATTATTCAGAGAGAGGCTTTCTCATACCGCTATGCTTTGGGTTATTTCCTTGTTTGTTCTCAGAGACTTCCTCCAGCCATTTTTGTCTCTCTGTATTGCAGAGAAGCACATTCCGAGGTTCCTCTGACAAAGGGCTTCTGGCCAAGTTGGTCAGTGGGAAGCACTGGTGGGAGATGATGCGTGTGGGAGACGGCAGACTCCAGGGTCTCTCTCTCTGTGTGCACCACTGCAGGGGCATCCTCCCCTCTCCCTCCAGCCTCTGGTGGGAGCATCTTCCCGCTATTATTGTTCATCTGAGTTCCTCACCCTCTCCTCTTCTGTTTCGCGGCTGTGTAAACACAATCCCTATTTTAGATACTCTGTTTGAAATACCTAGAGATGTTTCTCTTTTCCCGACTGATAATTATGTGCTTTGCCTAATTAACTTTCATCAATTCACGTCAGCTTTTCCCCAAGAGGAACCCTTTGCTTCCTATCCAATTCAGATGCCCTTTCTCTGTGGGCTCTCTTACACATCGCTCCATTTTAGCATTTACCATACTGCTCTGTAATGCTGGTTTCATGGTCTCCTTTCTCTGCTAAACTCTGAAAAGGTTGGAAAAGTTCTTTTAAGTCCCAAACCAGGTCTTATTTAACTCCGTATTCTCAGCATTCAGTCAGTTACTGAATGAATGAAGACCACTTCTTTTGCATAGTGTGTCAACAAAACTTGTGGGGCTGGATCATTCTTAGCCCTGAGGGCTGTCCTATGCATTGTAGAAAGCCAGCAGCATTCCCAGCCACTGCCTTCAAATGATGCTATTAGGAAGAAGAAATAGAATGTGAGAGAAAGCTCTGAAAACCATGGAAGTGCTATCAATTAGCTTCAGAATGGTTTCTCGGAAACTATTGAAATTTATCATTTCCAATCATAAAACAGTGTTCTATGTACTCTTTGATGGTACTGATAAAAACAATCTTTAAAATGGTAATATTGTTAGCAGCTACAGTTTCCTGTGATAGAAAGTAATGTTCTATTACTTTAACAGTTGTATCTAATTTTGTAGATGTTTTGTATACATTCAGTGAAAAAGAAAATTTAATACCCTAGGAATGTAAATATTGACATGTTAATTGTTACATTCACTTTTTAACCATCAATACAGATATTTAATTTTAATAGGTAATCAAATTTATCCGAAGTTTACTAATTTGAATGCTCACATTACATAAATTATATATCTGAGTTAATATGACAATGAAGAATTTTATAAATATTTCATAACAAAATATTTTCTAATATTAATGTTGAAATGTATAGATTGATAGCATATACTTCAATCTGTCTCAATGTTAATCAGCAAAATTTGAATAAAAATGTCCAAAGGGGGTCCTAAAGTAACTGTGATTATTAGAAAAGTGATTTTCTTCTGTAAAATTACATTTTCTGTTTAAAATATAAAATGTTTCTTCTATAAGATATGACTTGGAAATATGTAATGCAACCCATACTTTTTTTTTTAAAGATTTTATTTATTTATTTCACAGAGAGAGACAGTGAGAGAGGGAACACAAACAGGGGGAGTGGGAGAGGGAGAAACAGACTCCCCACTGAGCAAGGAGCCTGATGCGGTGCTTGATCCCAGGACCCTGGGATCATGACCCAAGCCGAAGGCAGATACTTAACGACGGAGCCACCCAGGCGCCTCAGTGCAACCCATACTTTAATATTTTCCCTACTCTTAGTTCAAAGAAATTATTTTAACTTATTAAATGTAAAACAAAAGTGAGTTGGCATAAATATTAAGCTGGTACAGCTTTTTATAAATCTCTTTATCCAGGAAATTAAAGTTAAATGAATTCATACTTGGGTAGAGAGTAAGATTCTCTATTTCGTGCCACATATTACCATATTAACCTAAGTCAGATATATATATTTTGTGTAATCTGAGTACCCAAATTATTAACTTCTATAATTTAAACCAAGATGGCTGTGAAAAAAAAAAAAAATCACAGATGTGTAACTAAGACACTCCGGTAAATATTAATCTCAAAATATCTGACAATAATAAATGCTTTACTTCATTGCAATTATACAGAATTTTATTTTCAGTAAGTTACAGTTTAGGGATTGATAAAAAGAAAGTAATAAGTCTTTCTCATATGCTGAACTTGCCCATTTGATTCTCCCTCTTTCTCTTCCTGCCAGGCCTTTTCCTTCTATTAACCGTTCCAAAATCTTTCCCAGAGCCTTACTGAAATCAAGACTCTGAGCAAAAGCTGGAAATTCTAGCACCCTACATTTTATGCACAGGTTGTACTCTAAAGGTACAACAGACAATCTGGTTCCCCCCCACCAGACTCTGCCCATGAAACTATATTTAACTAACAATATGGCTACCACTGAATTTAACCATAATTTATAACATTTCCATTGACAAATGTATCTAAGATTCAACTGTGGGTTCTAGATCCAGGGAGGAAGCTGCTTCCCACCCCCAAACTCCCACAGTCCTTAATATAAGACACTCTCCCTCCCTCTCCCTCTCCTGCCCAAACCCCATGTGTACCTGTCTGTCAAAGGACAAATGTCCCTTGCCCATGGATCTGGTATCCCTGGGTCTCTTCTGTTGAAGAACTGGGGGAGGATGCCTCAAAAAAGCCAGAGCTCTGGCTTCATTTAAAAATCCAATCACTTAAGTTAAAAATGGGAAGTGTATATAAAAAGGTAACTGTGGATGAGATTGAATCACTGTATCTTTGGGAAAGGTGTCAATTTCATACAAGCATACGATTGTCTTGGCTTGCCTTATCTGGGTTACTAGGCTAAACCACATTCCTGTGGGTGAGATGGGGCTTCCCAATGGGGATAGGTGTTTGCTCTGTCAGTTCAGTAGGGCGGAAGGCGTGGAGAAAATGAGGATTTGACAAGGCAGGTCTTAGACCAAAGACAGGAAAACCTTCCTTTGATCTCTGAATTGGGGGTCAGGCAGGTCTAGCGAGACATGCTCGGGGTAGGTCTGGATCTGTGGAACAGCTGACGTGATCCTCTGTACTATACTGTCCTGCCATCGCCCCAACACTCAGCAGAGTCCCAGCCTCTGAACCTCCCCTTCCTCCACACCCACTTTAAACCACAGAGCTGAAAGAGCTTTGGAACACTTCGGGAGAATTACTGCCAAATTAAAGGTCTGAAGATAGCTTGCCTTGATTTCCTACACCTCGTCCCCTGTCCACAGTCTTTCTCCTTGTGAGTAAGATTGCAGCAGCAACCACCAAAGTTCATGGTTAGGACTACCTAATGCCTGCAACCAACGCCAAAACTGAGGTCACTGCAGAAACTGGACTTCCCTTGCACTTACTATTCAGAGCAAGAAAGTTTTCCAGATGGATGGCCCTTATCTTGAAGGCACTTTGAAGGTCACTGGAGCAAAAACAATGTTTCTGCTTGCTAGAGGCAGGGGTAGCAGAATCTGGAGCGTCATCAGACTCAGTCTAAAACACTTGGTGCAGGCTGCAGAGAAAACCCCCTCTACGGCTCAATGAAGCTTGTAAATACAGTGTTTGGGAAAACATACTAACTGCTTACAAGAGTGTATCTTTGCATTGTATTTTCCCTGCATTTTTTTTTCTGCTCAAGTTTTTTGTTTTTGTGTTTTGCATGAAATGTGTTTCTAGGCATAGAACCACAATTTATAACACTGCATATTGGGGAAACGAGATCAAACTTTCAACTCTGTTCTATCCAGCAGCCAAACAGGTTTTAAATTGGGAGTTGCCATAGCAGTCCATTCTGCCATCACTTTTTCCTTGCTCTGTTCAACCAGGTAACTCATATTCTCACATTTGTTTCCCACATTAAAGCAGTTGCCAAAATGCCTTACACTGCCCAATTTAAATTGTCTTCTAACTGAACTGACACTTGGATATTGTTTCCCTGTCAGCCCTTCCCACCTCTTGGCAGACATCCTCCTTGCTCCATGCTGGGTAGCAATGTGGGATGACACCACCGATGAACAAAGCCAGTGGTGACCGGGCAACTACTCCTGAGCAGAGGCCCCCTGCCCGGGGGACAGCACGGCCCAGCCCGGCAGGAGCTGATCTGTGGCCACTCTGTTCGAGGAGGAGGCTATTCTGGTGAGCCCATCCTCGCGAGACATCATTCATACCTCTGGGGGATGAAGAAGTAACACTGAGGACTTCAGGATTGTGCTGGAACATAAAGAAAACTTCCTGTTGCTAATGGTGGAACCATATTCTCACACTCTCCCATGGCTTGGAAAAGCAAACTGGCCTCAACTGCAAGGAAAACCTGACAGAGGACAGAGGAGCAGAACCCTGGCAAGGAAGATTCATGGTGGAGAAAAAAGGCGTGTGTTTCAAAGGCTTTCACTGTTGCTGCCAATTTCTCTGCACATATTTGTCCTCCAAAGAGGGACTCACTGGCAACTCAGAGGGCTCCTAGTGGCTTCTTTAGAGTTTGCCATTCTTTCTCCACATAAAGATTTGTGGCCAGAAGCTTCCATGGGATCACATGACCTGCTCCCTCATCACTTGATCTATCTGTTTAGGGCACCTGCTGTGGGAAGGGCACAGCTCTGGGTGCTCACTGAAAGCAATCCTCTGCATACAGTCTCTAGTGACGACTGTGCTTCCCATCGATTCTCTGCACTGATCCACTGTGTCCTGAGGGGGCAGTGAGTGTAAGAGACAAGCCGTGCTAGACGGCCCTGTCTCTCAGAATCTCGACCCTTCAAAACACCCTACCCCTACCCCAGGGATTTTCCTTTCCTTCCATTTGCAGCAGTTCTGTCTTCCCAGTCAGGTCCGTCCTGTCAGCCTGCAGGGCCTCATAGCCCATCAACTTGACCTACGCCTCCGACATTGAGCCTATGAGGAGACGCGGCCATCACTATGGCCACACCACTCTTTCCTCAGCTTCATTCACCTGACATGATGTTCCGGCTCTCACAAGCCAGACGCTTCTGGATGCCCGAAAGAATGTAAAAGGAGCAGGTATCAGACTCAGGAATACCCTGGCATCACATCCCACAGACATGGCTCCTCCAACAGAAGTAACACTGAGGACTTCAGGATTGTGCTGAAACATAAAGAAAACCTCCTGCTGCTAATGGTGGAACCATATTCTCACACTCTCCCATGGCTTGGAAAAGCAGTGAGTGTAAGAGACAAGCCGTGCTAGACTTGTCTAAGTCTAGGTCATAATGTCCTAAGATATGCCAGATGCTCCGCAGGGCCTGAAATGAAATGAATACTATAGTCTGTCTTTTGTGGAAAGTTTAAAACCAGTTTAGTTTAGGTGCTAAAAAACAAACAAACAAAAAACTA